CCCCGCGCCCGCCGCGCTCCCCTCCCACTCACCGCTGTCCCCCGGACGCAGGGCCGCGCGTCCAGCCGGGCGCGGGGGTTCCCCGGGGAGGGGCCGGCCCGGGCGGGGCCAACGATGGAGGAGCCGCAGCGCGTCCGCTCGCACACCGTCACCACCACCGCCAGCTCCTTCGCCGAGAACTTCTCCACCAGCAGCAGCAGCTTCTCCTACGACCGCGAGTTCCTCCGCACCCTGCCTGGGCTCCTCATCGTGGCCGAGATCGTGAGTGCCCAGCGGGCCGGGGGCACGGGAGGCGGGGGGCGCAATGGTGCATCGGCGCTGCTCGGCAGGTGGAGCCAGCCCAGGTCCTCGGGCGGGCTTCGAGGAACCTTCCTGCTTCAGGAGAAGCTGAGCCTCGCCTTCTTCCCAAAGTGCAGAGCTCAGAGACTCTCTCTCCGAATGAGATCCAGCCACCGCGTGGCTTGGGCTGGCTTGGGGGAGAGGGTCGCAACCCTCTGGATGTCTTTTGGGAGAGGAGCCCAACTTGCTGGGCTCTCACGGTGGCGCGTGTCTTGGAGTCAGGATGCTTGGTGGGCAGTGAGTTTGTGTTAATGAAGTTAGGGACACCCTGTGCCTACCTCACCTGATCTCCATGTGGGCGGCCGCCTCTGGGAGACCTGGGGGCAAGCAGGCAGCTCCTCCCTTTTCCTGATTGTCTCCCTAGTAGTAAAAATGAAGTCCGCTTGGGGAAGTTCACCGAGTAAAGTCTCCGAGGGCCTCAATCTTTATGAGGGCCAGAAAGGTCTCTAACCTGGTGCAGTGCACATCCTGGTTTAGGCCTGGGAACGTTTCTGGGGAGGACGCAGGGCGTGTGGGCTTTTCCCATGAGAGGACAAGGAGGCTGAGAGTGTAAGTAATCTCCTCAGAAGTCCAGCCAGTCCTTCATGGCTGAGAAGCGCTGGAGCCGGTTAACAGCCAGCGACGGCCCGCGTTTTTTGAGCCTTCACGGTATGCCAGGGTCTTGTGTAGCCCTTTAGACACCTTCACGCCCTCATGTAACATGTATAGCAGCACTACCCTTTGAAGGCGCTTTCAGTATTACCACCATTTTACGTATGAAGACACTGAGGCCCAGAGAGGGTAAGTAAGTTAACCTGTGGGTGATGAAGCTGGGATTCAAACCCAGGCCTGCCTGTCATCAGAGCCCTGTTCTTAGTTGCTAAGGGACATCCTTTCCAGCTGTCTACCCAGTGGCCCTTCTGCTTGTGGAGTTTTTAAACGTTTGGGAAAGTTAAATCTAACCTGTATTGGGGCTAGAGGATGCGAGCCACCGTGGTGCAGAAGTGACGGAAGGAAGGTTCGGTCAGTTCCTTTGAGAACTCTTTAGCAATACCTGGGTTGCTCCTCTGGCGTCTCTGAGCCCCCCCCCCAGACCTACTGATTCAGCCCCCAGGTGGTTCCTGTGCATGGAAGGTGTGAGAAGTGTTGGCTTAGTCCACCCCCAGCTGATCCCCTCAGCCAGTACTGAGAACTTCAGGGGGAGAGGATGCTGGGTCAAGAGACCCAATCAAAAGCCAAAGGTACTAGAATCACCGTGCAGGGCCTGGCTCTCAGGAGCTCAACAGATAATTGCTGTGTGAAGGAAGGAGTTGGCAGCCGCCTCTGCTCCTGCAGAGCAAACAAAAGCTAAAATGACAGAGATGGGATGTTTACCCTGAGGTGGGTTTGGACCAGGCATGAAGTAAAATGCCTCCTGTTTCCTGATGTATGATCAATATGCTCTGTATTAAACACTTTTTCAGAAAATAGAAAAGTGAAGGAGGAAAATGTAAATGATCCCATCACTAGAAATAAGCACTGTTGATACATTGGCATGTATCCTTCAGATTTTAGGAAATTTTTTTTTTTAAAAGATGGAGAAACGTGTAAGCAAAGTCAACCTTATTACTACTTTGAGTTTTTAGTTTATTTTGTGCTTTAGGGGAAAGTTTACGGCATAAGTTAGTTTTTCCTTCTAAAATGTATAGACAGTTTGTTTTGTGATATTGGTTGCAATCCCAACAATGTGTCAGCACTCTCCCCCTTTCCATTTCCATCCTGGGTTCCCTGTGTCCCTTAGTCCCGTTTTCCTGTCCCTTCCTGCCTCTCGGCTTTGCGTTTGGGCAGGTGTTGCCCATTTGGTCTCATGTACTTGACTGAACTATGAAGCACGTTCCTCACATGTGTTACTGTTTGTTTTATAGGCCTGTCTAATCTTTGGATGAAAGGTGGACTTTGGGAGTGTGAGTTTTTATTTTTGACAAAGCTATACACACGTTTTTTTTTTGTTTGTTTGTTTTGTTTTGTTTTTTATATTTTATTGTACTTCAGGTGAAGGCTTACAGAACAAATAGTTTCTCATGAAACAGTAGTACATGTATTGTTTTATGACATTGGATAACAACCCCACAACATATTAACCTCTAAATTCTCAACCTTTTTTTTTTGGTGAAAATACACACAGCCAAAGATACACCGTTTCAAAAATTTCTACATACATAGTTCAGTGACATTGACTACGCTCCTCCAATTGTGCTGTTATTCTCACTTAAGATGAAGGCTTGCAGAACAAAATAGTTTCTCATTTAACAGTTACTACAAATGTTGCCCTATGACAGTGGTTAACAATCTCACAACACCTCAACAGTATCCTTACTCAACCTTGTATACACACATGTTTTAAAGAATCAAATAGTCCTATAGGCAGAAACATAAGTTTCTCTTCACTATCTCCGTAACCAGAGAGAGCCATGTTCAAATCTCTTAAGAGAGTTGAATACCAAACCAAAACCAAACCAGTTGCCTTCCAGCCTATCTCGACTTACGACAACACCGTGTGTGCAGAGTAGAGCTGTACCCCACAGGGTTTTCAGGGCTGTGACCTTTCAGAAGCAGATTTCCAGGCACCTCTGGGTGGGTTTGAACTGCCAACCTTTTGGTTAATAGTTGAGCACTTAACCATTTGCACCACCCAGGACTGCTTTATATTGCTATTCCTTGAGTTAAAAAGAAAAAAATTATTGTAGTTTAGGTGAAGGTTTACAGAACAAATAGTTTCTCATTAAACAGTCAGTACACATATTGTTTTATGACATTGATTAACAACCCTACCACATGTCAACACTCTCCCTTCTCGACCTTGGCGGACTTTTTTTTTCGGTGAAACTATACATAGCCCAAGATATACTATTTCATAAATTTCTACATACAGTTCAGTGACATTGATTACGTTCTTCCAGTTGTGCTGCTATTCTCACTTTAGATGAAGGTTTACGGAACAAAATACTTTCTCATTAAACTGTACACATATTGCCCTTTGACAATGGTTAACAACCCCACTACATGTCAGCACTGTCTTTACTCAACCTTGGGTTCCCTATCACCAGCTTTCCTGTCCCCTTCTGCCTTCTAGTCCTTGTCCGTGGACTGCTGTGCCTCATTAGTCCCATTTGGTTTTATGGGGCTGTCCAATCCCCGGCTGAACGGTGAACCTTGGGAGTGACTTCACCACTGAGCTAAAAGGGTGTCTGGGGTGATTTATTTATTTTAATTATAAGAGTTACCCATTGCCTCTCCACCATGAATGAGGCTTTAGCTCTCTTGGACCGCCTCCCACCCCCCACCGCCCACCCCCAACATCTCTTGTCTCTCTGTGGTCATGAGGTGATTTGGGTGAGGTCATTAGCCTGTGCTGACCTGATGATGCTGTAGATACTGTTCACAGCTGAACCACCGAGTAGTTAGAGGAGCTTCTCCTTTCCTGCCCAATTTTTTTTTGTTTTTTTTTTTCTAGTTAGTAATTCTCTCTCTTTTCTATTTCTTTCGTTCTCTGGATATTTAGCCGCTAATATAATCCCAGTTGTCTAAATCTCCTCTTGGGAGGCTGAGACACGTTGGGTATTCTATCAGAGTCAGCCTCGTAACCAACCCTCCCTGGAGCCTCACCTGCCCCACCTGGCCAGGTTGCCTGCGGCACAGCTGACCGCCTGGGATCTCCTGCACCATCAGCCTGGGGATTCTCTTCCCCTCTGTCTCTCCTGTGTTGGGTCCCCTGCTTCCCACGTCCAGTGTCCTTGCTGTCTTGGCTTGCTTTCACTGGTGGGGACACACAGCCTCCAGTAGGTTCCTGAGAAGGGATGCACACATAAATCGAGTCCTTGCATCTTTGAAAATGTCTTGATTCTACTGTTATACAGAGTTCATACTTTGGCTAGGTAAAGAATGTTAGATTGGAAATTGTTTTTCTTCAAAAGTTTGAAAATATTCCTTTATTGTCCTTTAGCTATTCTGATTCTTGATCCTTTCTTCACTGGAAGCATGTAGAATCTCCTGTCTTCCAGAGATCTTAAATATCACAGCGATGTGCCTAGATGAGACTGTTTTCATCCATTATGCTGGGGACCTGGTATATTCTCTCAATCAGGAAAACTCATGTATGTTTAAGGCGATTATCGTCAATTTGATTTTTATTTTTCATTTTCTCAGTTCTTTCTGAAACTCCTTTTCCTATGCACAGATTTTCTTTTCTTCTTATGTTTTAATGATTGTTCTTACTGGCTTGTAACCTGCAGTTTTCACTTACGATATCATGAACATTCTTCAGGGTCTCAGCTCTCTCTCATTCTTATAAGAGTTTTCTGTCATAAGGAAATAGCACGTTTGATTTCCTCGGTCTTCTGTTTTAAGACTAGCATGCGTCCAGGCTTTGCTAATACAGCCAAGTGCCATAGAAATCTTCTTTGTCCATCTTTCCACATTTGCCAGTCATTTTTTGTTGTTTTTGAAAAATAGTTTCCCATTCAACAATGCATACACACATTGTTCTGTGACATTGGTTGCCGTCCCCGCAATGTGTCAGCACTCTCCCGGTTTCCACCCTGCCTCCCCGTTTCCATCCCTCTAGTTTCCCTGCCCCTCTTTGCCTTCTTATCTTTGCTTTTGGGCAAATGTTGCCTGTTTGGTCTCATATAGTCAATTGTTCTCAGTTGCACATTCCTCACAGGTATTATTGTTTATTTTATAGGCCTGTCTATTATTTGGCAAAAAGGTGACCTCTGGGAGAGGCTTCCGTTCCAGGTTAAAAGGGTGTTTCATGGTGAAAGTCTCAGAGGTTCCTCCAGTCTCTAGCATTCCATGAAGTCTGGTCTTTTTTATGAATTTGAGTTTTGTTCTACATTTTTCTCCTATTCTAACCATGACCTTCTATTGTGTTCCTGGTCAAAGCAGTCAGTAGTGGTAGCCGG